AGTTCTCCCCCAGTTCCCACGGGTACCCACCCTTGAGCAGCCCCACGGCAGCCTCGGGTGACAGCGCGAAGGAGTCCAGGGCGCGGGCGATCTCCAGCAGCCCCGAGAAGTGCTGGGCCATGTGGTCCCGGCACACGGAGCAGATGTTGTGGATGGCCTTGGCGGCGGCTGACGCCAGGCGCCGGTCACACAGCCCCTTCATCAGGTAGCCCAGCACGGGATCTGTGGGGACAGGGGGTCAGGGGGCGGCGGGCACGGCGGGGCCGCGGGGGCGCGGGACTCACCCAGGAACTGCGGGTTCCTGTCCACCACCTCGCTCATCTCGCCCACCAGCTCGATGCTGGTGTAGCGCACGGCCGTGTGCACCGACTCGGGCAGCCKCACCACGCCCTCCAGCACCTCCACCAGCGTCGGGTTGTTCTCCCTGCAGGAAGGGCTCGGCTCAGGGTGGGCAGGGATCCAGAGCCACCGCCACACAGCACACTCTGAACGTGGAACGTGACTGGGACAAACCCTGTGAGGATGGGGCTCAGCCCCACAGACACCCCAGCAGATCCCATGGATACCCCACGGATACCCCATGGATACCCCACGGATACCCCATGGATACCCCACGGATACCCCATGGATACCCCATGGATACCCCACGGATAGCAGGAAACAGATGGGGAACACTGAACACCTCCAGGGAGAGCCCCACCACCACCAGGGATGTTCCCTGTCTGGGAACTGCCTGCTCTGCTGTGCGAGGGTGTGATGGGACAATCCCAGGCCAGAGCCTCGTGGGACAGGCTGGGGGGAGCACAGTCCCCAGTGCTTCAAGCACTCCCAGGAACGAGACACAGGAAAAGTGAGCAGGAGCAGCCTCAAYACAGGTGACAGGAGCTGGTGGCATGAAGGGACTGAGGTGACTGCCCCAGGTGCCTGGGAACAGGGGCACAGCACTCCCAGCCTCCCAAGGAACGGAGGGCTGGTGTCACCAGCTCCGTGGGAAAAGGAGTGACAGCAACCACAGCCCCCCAGGGACAGAGGGATGGGGATCACAGTGTCCCAGGGAGGGAGGGACAGAGGGATGGGGGTCACAGTGTCCCAGGGAGGGAGGGACAGAGGGATGGGGGTCACAGTGTCCCAGGGA